CATGCCGGTTTAGATAGGGGTCCAAGTACGACCTCACGATGATACGATGTTGGCCACACTTGTTGCCTACCTTCACCATATCAAATGTTGAAATAGACTCCTCCTGAGTATAAGCACGCACTTTGCACTCCCCCATGATAGGGTGAAGGCGGTGTACGAGTCATAAACGATTGGAGCCTACCATGGTGGAAGGCCACGAAGAAGTGTTCAAAGCACCTCTCCACTTTCAACTTAATATTGAATGTTGGTTGAAGGATTTTAAGGTCTCATCATTTTATTTATTTAATCACATTAAAATAAATTGTGTCCTATTATAACTACTAGTCCAAATTTAATGAAATTAGTAGCATATGATATCCCCACTATTCGTTTTCATAAAACAAATCAATATCAAAACATTTTTCAAAATATTGGAGATATATATAACTACTAATTGTATTCATTATTGTTTAGTGGCGTATGATACTCCCACTATTTGTTTTGAGAAAAAAAACAAATCAATATCAAAAACGAATTTTTCAAATATTGGAAGTAACTACTACTACTATGGTTTTTGCATTCCTTTGAAATTGGACTTTATAGTTATCTTAGGCTCTTTGGATGACCATGGACTTATTGAGTTAATTCAATTAACGAGCCAACATTGTTGAATAATATTTAGGGAAGGTTGTGTCGTTTTAATTACGTGCTTTCAATCCAATTAAAACATTTTTCATTGAGCCATTAGAAATGAAAGACAATCATTCATTGCTAATTAGGGCGTTGGACCCAATTAATCTTTAATCTCATGTCAAAACCCTCTTTTAATCATGTCTCCTTACCAATAGTTAAAGAAACTCTAGTCTAGTACTAGAGGGAACCAACTAATTGAAAGAGATTAAGAAGTAATAAGAATTACAAACCAATTTGTATAAATTCCTACAAATTACATATACTAAGAGGGAGAGAAAGATTAATGTCTATCATGACAAGGTCCAATTGAAATAGTAATTAAAACACATTCCCAAGGTTCAAACAATTTGAGTTTAGCGCCCTTTCTCATAGCTCAATTATCGTTTAAGGCATAAGTCCATAGTCAACCATTTTCTAACTACTTAATCACATTAAATAATTAATCGGAATGCAACATTTACAATTAGATTTAGTGCATATGGGCATAATTATATGATGAGTTTAAACAACTAACAAAATTAAAATCAAAATATTTTAACTTGTTAGATAGATGGGGCCTAAATGCAAATATGAAAAGTTAAGGGTCAAACCGCAAATACTAGAAAGTATTATCAACTTTTAAAAATTACAAAATAGCCCCACAAGTGGATAATCCACTAGGGTGGCCGGCCATGTTAAGGGGGGATGGGAGGTTTCAAACATCTTGCATTAATTCAAATTAAAGTAGATAAAACCCAAGATATTTCTTGCCACTTGACATGCTTTAAGGACTTTAGTGTAAAGGTGATGGAAATTCTCCTAGTCAAGTCTAGGATTGAATAAATTTTGGGAAGGCTGTGGATGGTAAGTTTATCATCCAAAACCATAAAACAATTTATGAACACAAAACAAAACCATTTACACCAAAACAAAACCATGAACACCAAGAACAAAACCATGAAAACAATTTCAAGATTTGTACTTTCTTGGTGATTTTTCAAACCCAAAAACAAAAGTGACAAGATCTAGATTTTCTAGCTTAAAAAAAATGTGTGAGTGATTTACAATAAAACACAAACACAAGCCAAAAAATCCCCCAAAACCGTGCAAACCCTATGGAACAAAAAACCCCAAATTTTGTTCAAAACTCAATCTTCATTCTTGTATCCAAAACACTTTTTGCATACATATCTTTTCAACTCTTGGTACACATTTTTCAACATTTGAAAAACAAAAGATAAACATATTTAGAATGAAGAAATAATATGTCAAACATAAAATTAAAACCCATATGCATAAAATCCAAAATGACACATCAAATATAAACCTTTGGCTCTGATACCACTTGAAGGGAAATAATAAGATTTATGTGGGATTTCTAGTGACTAACATGCATATACAATTCAAAATTTATATACATAAGCAACGGAAGCATGTTATCACATAATATCAAAGCTATAGTCATGTAAATCCCCTTCAAGAAGCATAGGTCCATATTTGATGCATCTAAGAAATTATTGAAGAACAAAGTGAAGGTATAGTTTTATACCTCTTGATCTAGACTTGAGACCAAGGATGGACCACCTCCAAGCTCTTTGTTCTTGGAACTCCTTGAGCCTAGCCTCCCTCCTTGCTTCCTCCACCTTGCTAGAGTGAGTGCTCCTTGGCCGGCCCCCTAAGTGTTATTTGGGCTTTGGGCTTTTATCATTTCAAGTCATCATATGCTTGAATGAAAAGCCCAATGGGTTTGGGCTTAATGGGCCCAAAGGAACCCGAACTTTTCTTTAAGCCCAAAACAATCTTTCATCGCTTCTATGATTTCCTTAGACTTTCTAATTAATCATAACACTTAATTAATCCAATTAATTTATTCCATCATCCTTTAGTTTTCTCACCACAAGAGTGTTTCAGTGTACAATCATTTTAGGCTCTAATTAGCAAGGCAGTGAGGTGATTGGCACCAATCAAATTGATTATATTTAATCCAATCACTTAGTGAATTAAAACTTACTTTTAATTCTCCTTCTTCTTTGACGACTACTTATTTAATCATCTAGAAGAACCCACAAGCCATGAGTGACATCTAACCATATATCACGGCTACCCAAGCTAATGTAGAATTTGTTCGGAGAACCTATTCAGTTGGAATTACAATGTAATTCGATCCTTCTTTAAAACAATACTCTCAATCACATTATTAGGGTATGGATATATTATGTCAAACCCCTAATGTGATTATTCCATGTTATATGATTCAATTGAGTCGTATAGGAACACTTTCCTTTATTACGCTCGATACTTCGGCCGAAGATTCCCGAATCATATCTTAGAGTATTCATCCTCTCATAACGAGGATTAGAGATCCCTTGTTGATCATTCACATGCCTCTGAGAATAAATCACTGACCCCAACAATGCATAGAACACACCCAAGATGAGGTGTGGTCACGTCTCATTATCAAAATGATCAGCAACGTATCCCCAAGACAACTATGATGTCTCAGGTCAAAGGATTACTTATATTATTCCAACCATTAGAGTTACTTGCTTGACATGTGAGTAGACCTCCATGCAAGTACTCTCGTTCGATTGTGTTCAGCGAACTCATTCCCATAATGAGCACCTAGATACCTGTTTTAGTGTCACTACACAAATGGGATGAGACTTTCCATCATTCCAATTGAAGGGGACATAGTATGTACTGGTCTATGCATTGTCAATATCCCTTTGACAATCCTTATGACCAGGAACCTTTTGGATATGATGGTTATGAGAAGAAGGTCTCTGTAGTCTAACATCATTAGATTACTTCTTCCATTGATCCATTATCCATGGATTCACTATTTAGGACATATATCGTTAATTGAGATAGTCCTAATTAGTATCTTTGCCTTTGGATGTATAAGAGTCATCTATACACACATCCATTGTCCTGAAAGGTTTCTTCCGAAGATTGACTTTCAGGGCATATCTCCAACAACTCTTAGGTAAAAAACAGTTGGAAATAACTTCAATACATGCTAAAAAGTACATTAAGCGAAAAATTTACTAAATAAAGTACAAACAAAGAGACTCGGGTAAGGTCGAACTTCTTGCAACCACCTCTCTTTGAGTTTACAGAGGTTGTATGCTAAAAAAAATGGTAGGTAACTAGGTTTTACATGAGAGAATTGATACTACAACAGTAAGGGGAAGTAGCAGAGCTTTTACACTAGACAAAAGATGGCTGTAAACACGAAAATGTTGTAATGAATGAAATGAGAACACATGTACAAAGTATATTTGTATTGATTGAATTTGTAGGGTTACAATCCCTGTTTACAATTTTTCTCTAATTCAGTCTTCAAATTTGATGTAGATGCATAGGTTGTTGATCCAAAGGTCACGATGACTTGATCTCGAACGAACGATTGAACTATTGCTTCAAGTTTTGCGCTTGAAACAATGCGTGGATAGTCTTCACCTCTAGGTTTGCATATGACTTGTGGCAAAGGTGATATTGATGTGGGATTTTGTTGATTCAAGGGCCTTGGCGACTTGATCTTGAATCGAACATCGTTACAGGTTTTAAGCTTGCAACTAAGTCTTGAAATAATAGGAACAAGTGCTTGTTGATTCTTCAAGGGAATGCTTTGGCTTTGGTCGAAAGAAAGCTTCGGCTTTGGTAGTACGTTCTTTGAAGAGAGTTTTGACAGCGTATTAGTCTTCAAAGATTTGGCAAAGTTTCTCCTTTTGTGAGAATTTCGGCCCTTCAATGTAGAAATTGTAGACCTTTTGTTTGTCCTAGGACCTTGTATTTATAGGCTTCCAAAGCCATGCCTTTGGGTGGATTTGGTTTTGATTTGAGTCTTGATTCGTCCATGGGAGAATTTAGGCATGTTTTGTGTCTTAATTTTAGCCACTTTCCCTTGCTTGGTCGAAATCTATAGGGCTTTCTTGCCTATTTTGCAAGCAATCTTCAATTCTTGCTTGTTTTGTAAAGATACTTTAGTTTTCTTTCCGGTTTTGGGAGCAATTTGGGCCCTTTGCCGATTTTAAGGAGATTTCTTCGCCTTGACCACATTTTAGGAATGCTTTTGAGCTTCCTTTGCTTGATTTGTGCCACATGTCATTTATGACTTGTTCATTTGAAATGAGTTATATGCCACATGGAGCTTTGTGATGCATTATTTGTATGCAAAGAAATTTACATGTCTACAATGGCTTTTCTAAGGGAACTATATCTAAAATGACTAAATATGGACAAGTTTCAACTTTCTGGGTAAAAACTAGTTTGAGAGCAGAGTTCGTATGTTTTTTTATTGGTTGGTTAATTGTCCTTATCTTTGGCGTCTCTTTCTCCTTTTATAGGCGATTTGGCCTGACTATCTTGACTTTATTCTTGGTCGATGGCTCTTGGAAGGTAATGAGTCATCATCTATTTACTTGTCATGCCACTAGAAAGTGCTTTTTAGCTGATAGTGAGTTGGTCTTTGCCATCTGTCACTTCAATCTTAGGCACATAGTCTATGCCTTGGCTGAAATGGCTTTAATTTGCTTTAGACCTATCGATTGGGTTTCGAGCAAGTCCCCATTTTACTATGACACCCTTGGACCCCATTTCATAAGGCCCAATTTTAAATATTAACCCAAACACCCTTCACAAGGCCCTTCACAACCGAAAGCCCACTTCTCCATCTTCTTCCCCACCGCCACCCCACATCAAGAGACTCGTCAATGACACCATCCAAATCCTCAGAACCAACCATCACTGGGAGCAATCTCTCGAAACCCAATTCTCCCAAACCAAAACGCTTGTTTCGGACGTTGCTCATTTCTTTGACTGGTCTTTCGAGCGACCCTATTGCGGCTCTCCAGATGGGTCTGCGTATTCTTCGCTTTTGAAGCTTCTGGCAAGGTTTCGAGTGCTTTGGGAGATCGATTTGGTGATGGATAATGTGAAGTTGAAAGAAGTAAAGCCGACCCATGATGCGTTGAGCTTGCTAATTCGAGCTTATGCGGCTCTTGACTTGTATGATTTTGTGGTTAAGGTGTATGTTGTTGTTCCGAGTGTTTTCGCGTGTAATTCGTTGTTAATTGTTCTTGTGAAGAATAGGAGGGTTGATGTTGCAAACCGAGTGTATGACAAAATGGCTGAGAGATGTGATGGTGAGCATTTGTGTATGGATAACTTTAGTACTTGTATAATGGTGAAGGGGTTGTGTAAGGTAGGAAGGTTGGGGAAGGTTGGGGAAGGTAGGAAGTTGATTGTGGATAGGTGGGGAAAAGTTGTGTACCAAATGTTGTTTTTTACAATACGCTTATTGACGGATATTGCAAAAAAAAGGTGATGTTAAAGGTGCCAGTGAGATTTTTAAAGAGTTGAAATCAAAGGGGTTTTTGCCCATGCTGGAAACTTTTGGAGCTATGATAAACGGGTATTGTGAAGAAGGAAAGTTTAAAGCGATTGATCGGCTTTTAATGTTAATGAAGGAGAGAGGCTTGTACATCAATGTTCAAGTGCATAATAATATTGTTGATGCTAGATGTAAGCATGATAGCTTGGTTAAGGAAGTGGAGACAGTAACGAAGATGATTGAGAGTGGTTGTGAGCCAGATATTACAACCTTCCATATTTTGATTCATAATTCATGTACGGGTGGGAAGGTTCAGCAAGCCGAGCAATTTATAAACCATGCGATGGAGAGAGGGTTGGTGCCAAACGAGTTTAGTTATACTCCTCTTTTTCATGCGTATTTCAGACAAAGGGAACATAGTAGGGCCTTGGATTTGTTTACTAGGATGACAGAAAGAGGACAAAAACCTGATTTGGTTTCTTATGGAGCTCTCATCCTTGGACTTCTTGTTTCTGGGGAAGTTGATGTTGCAATGACAGTTCGGGACAGAATGATGGAAAATGGAGTAGTCCTTGATTCTCGCATTTACAATGTTTTGATGAGTGGCCTTTGCAAGAAGGGAAGGCTTCCTACTGCCAAGTTGCTGCTTGTCAGATGCTTGACCAAAATGTACCAACTGATGCATATGTTTATGCCACTCTGGTGGACGGGTTAATCAGAAATGGTGATCTTGAAGAGGCAAAAAATAATCTTTGGGTTGACGACTGAAAAGGGTCTAAACCCTGGTGTTGTGGAATACAATGCTATGATTAAGGGTTTCTGCAAATTTGGAATGATGATGGATGCACTTTCTTGCTTTGAGAAAATGCAGAAAGTGCATCATCATCCTGGTGAGTTCGCGTATTCTACAATTATTGATGGGTATGTCAAGCAGCATAACTTGGATGCTACTCTAAGTTTCTTTGAACTGATCGTCAAACAGGGATGCAAGCCAAATGTGGTCACGAAAACCTCCTTGATCTATGGGTTTTGCCACAAGGGAGATTCATGCGGAGATGTAAAGACTTTCAAATAGATGAAATCCTGTGGTTTGGAGCCAAATGTAGTCACATACAGCATACTTATTGGAACTTTTTTGCAAGGAAGGTAACCGTGCAAAAGCCGCCTCCTTTTTTGAACTAATGCTGAAGAACAAGTGCATTCCTAATGATGTCACCTTCCATTATCTGGTAAATGGGTTCACAAACAATGAACCTGGTGCAATTCCGAAGGAAGTTAACGAGTCCCAACAAAATGAAAAATCTATTTGTCTAGGGGTTTTCAGAAGGATGATATCAGATGGATGGTTTCAAAAGGCTGCTGTTTATAATTCCATTATCATTTGCCTTTGCCATCATGGGATGGGTAAAACTGCGATACAGCTGTGTGAAAAGTAGGTTAACAATGGCATCATTCTTGATTCTTTTTCTTTTGCTGGTCTGCTGCATGGTATTTGATTGGAAGGAAGATCCAAGGAATGGAAGAGTTGAGTATCATTCCTTTTAACTTGAAGCATCAGGAATTCCACACTGCTGTCAAATTGTCGCGTACAATAGATGATTACTTACATCAAGGAAGTGCATCTGAAGCTACACTCATTTTGCAGTCATTGGTTAATGACCCTAAGTCTCAAGACCAAGAAGTGGATCTTAAAGACAAAAAAATAGAGGAAAACCATCATCTTTGTTTTTCTTTAGCAAGATGAAGGATCATATCATGCTCATGTAGAATTGAATTTGAGATCTGTATTTGTCATAATCTAACTGAATGAAGATGTAATTCATAGTACTTGTGTCATCATGTCTTGTAGCTTTGATAAGTAGTAGTGTTCAGTATGTTAACTTTTCATAATGTTAATTAAGGCATCTTCAATGTGATCAAAATGGCTAAGGATTTCATGTGCATCATGCTTTATAGATAACAATTATCTTTATAGGAATATGGAAATGCTTTCATAGATCAATCATGATAATAGATACCGATCCTTCAGTGCCGTTAATGATAGCCATGATTTTTAAAGAGACGTGCCATGATAAATGTAAGTTAAGTGACTTATATCGATAAAATTATTTAGAATTCAATAATTTAGAAACACAGAAAGACTAATTTATTTTGTATTGAGAGAGGGAAATGATGCGAAATATTCTAACACACAAATTAAAACCCTATAATTGTAGTATATGTAAGTAGGGATCGTTCTAGCCGGGGATTAGAAGGGATGCTAATCAACACAAATAAGACTCAAAAACACTAAACTAGACTCTATAGACTCAAAACTAACTCAAAACACTCAAAACAGCAAATAACAACCAAAAAGACTCAATTCTAGACCTAACAAGTGACTTGGACGAAAATAGGACTTCAAAGACTCAAAAGACTTAAAAGAAACAAGTTTTGACTCTAAAAACAAGACTTAAAAGTAAGGGGTTTGGTTTTGACGAAAATTGAAATTTAAAACATAAACTTTGAAAACAAACTTTAACAAAAACGATTTTGATGAAATAGAATGGTGAAATGCTAGTTAGAGGGTTTCTTCTCCACACATGAAACATATGCATACGACTCGATTTCCAGTTACTCTTTCAACAAACCATGAATGACAATGTCCCAAATTAACTAGATTGCACCAATTAATTCTCAGATTTCCCTAGATTCATTGAATTGAATGGAATACGCATTACAACCAAATTATTCTTATCAAGGACCCTAACTATGGAATACGCATGATAGAGACACATATTAAAGATCATTAAGTTCAATGGAAATCATAAACATTGACGAGGCATTCATAACTATGGAATACGCATGTTACTCTTGCCAAGGATTTACTTAACACAATCGTGACTAGCGACTTTTACTACTTATGAATATAAGTTAATAACGATTAGGTGAAATTCCCTTATACTCTAGCATCAAATTCATGCATGCGAACTAAGTATGCATCCTTAATTAACATACATAAACATGTTATCAATCAAATAGATAAGTAAACCACATTCACGATTTATGAAATCATAACTGGAGGAAATCAAGTCATATAAAACATATGATCATGGCTTTGAATTCCCCTCTAACTACAAAGAAATTAGTTCCTCATGTTCGCAAATAAACAAAGGTAAATAAATCTAAACATTGACATAAAGATAGAAAACACCTAGAAACGCTCCAACAATCCAAGCTCCTTGAATGGCATGCACGGCTCCAGATTTCTTCCTTCTTCTCCTTGCAAAACTCACGGCACAAGAGGGGTTTTTGGGTGAATGGTGTAGTGAAAATATGGTAGAGAGTGGTGACTAAATGGTGCAGCAAAGGATGGTATTTATAGGCTGAAATTCGCAGCCCCTATGTAGCAAAGGACAAGGTTTTAAAGGCCTAAATTGCATAGGATAATAACATCCAATCCTATAAGGAAAACAAGTCAAAAACCCAAAGGGATTGGGAGATAAGGTGCAGCACAAAGAGTGTGAAATGATAAGGTTTCTAGAAACCAAAATCCTAAAGGAAATAGGGTAGAAAATTCGGCCCAAAGTGTGGTTTCTAGAAGGATAATGCAAGGCAGATTTTTAGGCTTCTAGAAAGGTTCTTAGGTGTCATCTTGGTAGGATAAGATAAGGTCTTCTAGAAATCCCATTTTAAGCATCCTAATCTAGTTAGAAACCCTCCTAAGTGGCTGGAATGTGGATAGTTTAGGATTAGGATAAGATAAGATAAGATAAGGTTTGTTTGGATAAGATAAGCTAAGATAAGGTTATGGATGAGGTTTTGGATAAGATTCCTTATCTTGAGCTGATTCTTTGGCTTTAATTCTTCTTCTTCATGTAGGAAACCTTGCTTGAGTAGGAAACTTCATACATCTAGGAATCCATCTTCAATTAGGACTCCTACATTGATTAGGAATCCCAATTCATTTAGGAATCCTTCATCCAAGCCATTTCCTTCTTCAACTAGGAAACTTTGTATCTTCAATTCTTCAACTTTGAAACGCCTTCCTAGCTTCATCAATCCCTCAAATTCGTCCATCCCTTGTGCTTCATATGTATGAACTCCATTCTAGCCCAATTTTGCTCCTGAATGCTCCAAATTGCATCCTTTTGCTCACTTTGTCACTAAAACCTGAAAACACATGAAACTAGCTTAAAAGACTAACTTTAACTATGAAAACACAACATAAATGCATAAGAACTAACTAACTAAGGCGCATAAATATGCTCCTATCAGGAAACAAAAAACTTCGGGCTTACAAGTAGATAGATGATGAGTTTTGTTTTCCATCTGAACTTTGAATGTGTTTTTGAATAAATTGTGAGGTGTTTTTTTTTTTTCTTATTTACTAACCTTGTCAATATGGTACTAAAAAATAATGATGTTCTCGAGTCTTTAATTGATATGTATTATTAATGAATGGGCACTAAATTAAACATTTTGATGACACGTCTTATAATTTGGAAATTTGGTCTACGTATTACTCTTTGTTGAAGATTAGACTTGAATGAAAACGAATATTTAAAAATAACAATCCACATAGCTAATAGATAGTAACTAAAAATAAATTAACAATCAAACAAAAATTTTAAAAAATTGAAAAGAATAAACATGCACATAGCATTTCAAACTTAGAACCTCTTGTTAATTTTAAACAATAAAAATCATTGTTTCTAATTAAATTTCTTGATCATTTAACCAAATTTTATAAATTTATACTCTTATAAAAAGAAATTTGTAAAAAATGGAGAGTAAATAAGCACACATGGTGTTTTGAACCCAAGACCTTCTCATTATTTTCAAATGACAAACCACCACTTCTAGTTAAATTTCTATGTCTTTGAACCAAATTTTATAAATTTATACTCTTATAAAAACTTATATAAATATACCGCCCTAATAATTTTGGTGCCCCTAATTTTTTTGGGCCCCGGACGGTCGCCCTGCTTGCACTGGGCCTGGGCCGGCCCTGCCTGCCATGGACTGAAAACTGCCACCAATAAGCTCTATCCACAGATTCCACACTCCTCTCAGCTGCTCAAGTATACTATATTGGAGCTTCTTTTCTGTTCCGCCCTGCCCTAGGAGTTTGATTTTGAGTGTAACAGGGAGTTCCCATACAGATGCTCCATTTGTTAACTTAACTTTGTAGGAAATCTCATAAACAACTCCTGGTGAGAGCTCTCACATCTTGAACTGTCCTCGGACATCTAAATCCCCTACACCCGTTAGTTTGGCTACCTCAATGTTGTCATCACTGTGAATGAAAGACATAAAAATTCTCATTTTTTTCATATTGAAAACATTGCTTAATTGAAAATTCTCTCATATATGAAAAAGTGTCTAGAAGACGAGTTAAATGTTGCTTGTGAAATTCGGCATACCCTGTCCAGTTATAATAATTCCAAACCCAGTATGGAGGACCACCCTAAGTGATAGCTAAAGACCTTGCGTATAACAACATGCATTTGTAGACAGAGTTCTTCTCAACCCATAATTTCTGCATGCATAATGATTGAAAAATGAACACAGCATCAGCAGTTTCTCTCAGGTTATCATCTAGGACCCTTTTCCCTTTCTATAAGTTTAAATCAGTCTGGCATTTATGTTAATACATATACATAAATAAACTTTGTGCCGAATACCACCTGCCCGGAACGTCATTTTACCCGAGGGTTATCAAGATAGTTTTCT